CCATGTAAGGGGTGTAGAGCAGAAATGAACATGGTCACAATACCAAGCTTACCAAAAAAGGACAAACAACCATGCAGAACTTTTGTAACAACATCTGTCATAAGAAACAATGGAGGAGCTGAGTTCACCATGAAACCAGCCAAATAGGCATACAGCTCCTGCGAAGGAGGCAGGAGAGTCGTTAAGGAAGGGGGTGAGAACAACATAAAAAGAAAGATGTAGGAGATAAGAGAAAGTCTTCCACAAAAAAAGTGAATGCCTGGTTGTACAGGCCCGATGCTATATATATATATATATATATATAGCTGACTGCAGGGGGTGGGGTGGGGAAGGATGCACACACACACACACACACACACACACACACACACACACACACAGAGAGAGAGAGAGAGAGAGAGTTCTTAGGGAGGAGTGCTGAGAAGGGGGGAGGCTTAGTGTGGGAGCCAGCTATGCACATTCCTTGATTGGAATGGGTGGAAGCAGCATTGCGCTGAGCTGCATTGACCAACAGGGGTAAAATGGGCTAGTCTATGCAGATGGGGGGGCCATAGAGAGAGGAGAAGAGGGGATATATATATATATATATATATATATATATATATATATATATATATATATATATATATATATATATATCGTCACAAATAGATGCCCCTGCATCCTCCACGTGATAGGAGTCAGGTCCAGACGAGACCTTTGCCAAGGTCCCCAGCAGATCCTGAGGACCTTGGTGAGTGGGTCCGCAGACAGGTGTGTGAGTATTTTGTCTGTTGACTCTGTTCTGAGTCCAGGCGAGTGTGTATTTGTCTGTTCTCAGCTCAGTTTATACAGTTTGCTTTGGTTTCAATTCCAGGTGTGAATATTTTCTGTTCTGAGTTCAGGCGTGTGTGTATGTTGTTTGTTCTCAGTCCAGTTTTTTTTTTTTTTTTTAACACACAGGTCGCAGGTCTATTAGCGGTGGTCATAAGAGCAACCACCTCTAGCATTCCTGCCACAGGCTCCAATCTATTGGTGGGGGAGCTGCACCTGCTGGAAATCGGGTCCAGCGTCCCTCACAAAAGTAGGAGACATGGAATCAGCTGAGATCGAGGAGCGGCCCAGGCCCCTGTTGCCCGAGACACGCTACAGGGGAGAGTAGGGCTGTGTCCAAGGGACCACGCCGTCCCTCATCCAGGGCAATTGTAATGGCCGGGAAACAGATCTATGTCAGTCCAGTTTTATTTTATTTGCTTGTTTTCGATTTCTGCATATTTTGTTGGTGTCAGTACTATTTTCTTTGTTGCCAGTCTATTTTGTCCTGCCCAGATAGAGTTTCCATGACACGAGTAAAATAGTGCGCGCCTATAGCTGGGGCTAGAGTACTGCTGCACATGGCCCCCCCAACCAACCCACCGACCCACCCACAAACCAACCCACCAACCCACCCACCAACCTACCAACTGTACAAAATAATTGTAATGGCCAACACAGTTTTTGGCACAAAAAAATTGCCTTCCTCTGAGAACATTCATCCTTTTGAAGTTTGAACTTTGAACTGATTGCTCATAATTCTAGTCTGAGCCTGTTTTGCTGCGTTTTCTATGTATGTGCTGTGCCACTGAAGCATGTACGCCTTGTGCTTGCCTGCTGATTTCTGGGTTCCAGTCCGCGTCCTTGTGCTAACTCTGCCGCAGTCCGACTCCTTGTGCTAACACTGTTGCCGTGATGTGCGGCTGAGCCCTGGACAGGGACACGGTCGAAATAGGGGTAAGACAACAAAATAGCAGTAGGGATATATTGCGGATAGAGTAGCAGGCAGGCACATAAGAAGAAATTGTTAGAGGCCCTGTGGGAATTTTCCAAAGAAGTCGCTTGGGCCTGGAACGGTCCAGTTGATGTGCATAGGTAATGATGGTCCGTAGCCTGAATGTACCCTGGTAGAAGTCTAGATTCAGGATTTGTGGGTAGATTTCAGTTTCCAAGGAGTCCTAAAACACCCAAGGGAGGCTTGGCAGCGGCACCTAGGGCTTGCTGAAGGTACTGTAGCTCGGTCAGCTGACAATATATCATTTGGCGCAATGGGCAGTTGAGCGTCTCTTGGAAAAAGGCAGCCCAGCTGGTACTCCACCCAGAGGGAGAGGCTGGCGGAGTACCTCGAGGTCAAGCTGGGGATTGAGGGTGAGGAAGAAGACCTTCATGGCTATGGAGTAGTAGGGAGTGGTATGGGAAGCCCTAAGGCTATTGAGGTAGAGGGAGAAGACCTTCCAGCCGGGCTATGGTGGAGGAGAAAGGTTGAAAGAGGAAAGAAGGAAGTGGGAAATGGCATCGAGACTTGACTTTGGGTATGGTGGACTTGGGTCTTCATCTTCCTAGTTGGCGCTGCATTAACAAGACCCCTGTTGGGGTACTGGGAGAACATGGACTTCATCCGAAGGACAGGCATGGCGGTAATAGAGAGGAGAGAGCTGGAGAGAAGTTGCGTTGCCTCTTAGAACAGCCAAGGTAGGTCAGGATGAACCACCATAGCTAGAAGACATACCAAGTAGCTGAGAGAGGTGGAGTGACCTGAAGGACAGTTCTTTCAAGTCTGGCAGTAAGGGCCATCATTCGACATTGATTATTGTTCATTCATTCATTGTTATTGTTATCTATTATCAAAACGAGTTGGCGTGCCATTGGAGGTAGAGCTGACAGTGGCCGGATATGGAGAGAGATGAAATTTGTTTGAACTTGTGTCGTCCTCTTCTTCTTTCCTCCATCCATCTTCTCTCCTTGACTCATTCTTCTTCTATTTGAGCTGCAATGGAAGGCATTGTCCCACATTTGAGTTTTGCGTCATGCAATGAGCAGGATCATAGCATACTAATGATATTGATCTCTTGACGACGAAACATTCCCCCCGTGCTATGGTAGTATTCCAGTCCCTTCATCGGCCACCCATACCGGTCCCGTTTGTCCTACTACTAGCCTACACCTACCCTATTCTACTTACCTCCCATGCAGGTCAATGTTGCTCCATATAGTGCTGTCTCAATTGAGTCCAATCAAAGAATGTGCATCACTGGAGCCCCCATGCTGTCAACACAGGCCACTTCTCCACCAGGTCCTCACCTTCTCTCTCTCTCTCTCTCCCTCTCTCTCCATATATACACACACACACAGAGAACCCAGCTATGGATGGCTGACACTATTCTCCTTAGAGATTGTCCAACAGCCCCACCGACAGCCGCCAGCCAGACTGAATGCCACTGTCTCCTTCAAGTATCTGAAGCCAGGATGAGGATGAGTCTGGACTGGCCTGAAGAGGCCGGAGTTCGAAAGTATCAAGACTGGCCTGTCCTTATTAGTGGTACTGGTGTCCACTAGCCTGGGTCGTAGCAGTTGGTCGAGAGGGCTCGGGCTCTTCAAGACTAGGCCTGGTCTGACCGGGCCTTTCATTCGTCACTTTGCCAAGGCCTCCCCACGACTGGCCACTTAAGGGCCTTGCAGCTCTTAATCCATCAGCAGGCCTTGCGGCCTTGCACATTTCTCGATAGCTCTCGTGATCATACTCCTTTCCCTGCAAGCTGCAGGGAGCCCACCTTCTCTGCCCTCACACTGCTAGTAGCAAACTGGATGCCATTGACCAGGCATATGAACAGAAAACACTGCTACACAGAGAGTGCCGGAGAAGGCAGAGGCCACATGATTTGCCAAATGCCAAGAGGCTTCTAGCGGACGACTCCAGTACAAACAATCTAACTGCCAAACCCTGAATTTGCTCGTTGCATGTCATTGGCATCGGCCAAAGTTTGTGCCCAAGGTGTTGGACATACGCCAAAGTTCGTGCCCATGGTGTTGGTGGATGAGACAAGTCGATACTCACTCGCTGCAATCGTTGTAGCATTTATCTGCCTGCTTCAGGTCATGTGCATACAGGTAGACAATGACAGCACTCACATATGCCTGCCAAAACATCCATCGAACAGCGACATCAGTCTTCGGTCATTACAAACTCACATCAACGTACATGATCAAGTTTCATATCATCAAACAATCATGAAAGGATTTCACTCGACATCAGTCTCATTACAAAATCACATCAACGAATACATGATTAAGTTTCACATCATCAAACAATCATGAAAGAATTCCACGCGGCATCAGTCTCATTACAAAATCACATCAACGAATACATGATTAAGTTTCAGATCATTAAACAATCATGAAAGGATTTCACGCGGCATCAGTCTCATTACAAAATCACATCAGACTGACACCTACTGACAAATAATGAACTAGGCCTACTTGGGCTCCCTAACGTACCAGCCTACTTTTTCAGGCACATGGAGCCCACCGGTTATTGTACATACAGGCCTACTATGCCTAATGGTTGGGGCAAGGTACATGCAACTCTGGGACTTGGAACTGGGACTGGGACTTCTGAGATGCGTGAAATCCTTTCATGATTGTTTGATGATCTGAAACTTAATCATGTATGTCAGTCCAAAAATGCAGCTCAGTCTTAGGAAAGACTGTGAAAACTCCGGATGCGTCGGAAGCAAACCGCCGCTGGCCGGTCGAAGGTACAGGTCCAGAAAGATCCAACTTTATGAACTGCACCAAGTACAAGAGACCAGCATAAGCAGAACGTCAACACAATTTCCATTCGTTTCCATCGTGGAAGCGTTGTTGCAGTCTTGTGCAGTCAAGCAACAGGTCTGGCTGAGAGGTGAGAGTAGTTAGTCGTGAGAGAGAGAGAGAGAGAGAGAGAGAGAGAGAGAGAGAGAGAGAGAGAGAGAGAGAGAGAGAGAGAGAGAGAGAGAGATGCAATCTGCACACGGGGAGTTGTAAGTCCATCAAGCAGTGGGGAGTTCATCCCAAACATCTGAGGGATTACCAAACCGACACCCAGAAGACAACAACAGGAATGATATTGAATTAGAAGAATCTGCAACTCACCTTGCATTGGCTCTGTTTCACCTTCGACTTGTCAAATGCTAAGCCTTGCCTAAGAAGCATGGTTGCAGCATCAGTAAACCTGGTAAAGTACGTCATCCCCAGAAACAAGAAGCCACCCACACAACCACCAACAGGGGGGCACCACGGATGAAAAAGGAATTCATTAGCAGCTTATTTAGAACAAAATCTCCATTCATGTAATTTCATGATGAGAAAACAACCAGAGGACCTCATGACAACTTCCACATTCCATGGATGCATTCGACACTTCCAGATACTGTCACTTTGTGTGCAACACAGGGTTGCATACCTGCCGACCGCCATCCGTATGGCAGCCGACCASTAGGGCCAACCGGTTGGCGGTCTGCTCACCAGTCAGAAAACAGCCATCCACTGAATTTTTTTCAAATCTTTGGGAGCTGTACTGCGCATGCTGAGTACAGCCCAAATCCGCTGAGAAACTTTTCGGGATGGGGGGGGTGTTAGGGGGGTTAGGGGGAGGTTATAGGGGGGGAATGGGAGGGGTATAGGGGTGATGTATTGGGTATTAGTACGAGGGTGTTGGGGGACGGTTTAGGGGTGTTGGGGGGGTGTATGGGGGTGTTGGGGAGGTGTATGGGGGTGTTGGGGTGCGTATGGGGGTGTTGGTGGGGTTATTGGGGGTAATGGACTCCCATAATTTATTATTATTATTATTATTTTTTTTTATTTTTTTTATTTTTTTTTCCCTTTAAAGTTTAAACAGGCCGTTATGGTCCTGACTCCATATCCATTCTGTGGAGCGTCAGTCAGGTAACTATTCCCCCGGCAAGTCAAAAATGATTACATCATTGACCCACTCACGCTTCCTTCCGTTTGGCCGAAGGAACCCTGACCAGCATTGATTGCTCCCATTCGGAGGACTGACTGTCAGCTTGCCTTCCCCTACAATCCCTCTCAGATCCCTCTGTGGGAATCTGCCAAGTAAACTTACAAAACAAGGAGAGTGGAAAACGGCCCGTGAGTTGCTATTTCAAAAAACCATTGGTGTCTTATGGCTCTTTTATACGTCCTTATGTTGCCTGTGGGTCCTGGAGGCAGCTCGCAGCTTGTTGTAGTGGGATTCTCCATCTGGTTTCCGAGTTATGCCAGTCTTTCCAGCGTATGTTGCCATCTCTTAGCTCTGCCACTTTTCCTCCCACCAGCCAAACTTTGACAAACCTGGAGAGGATAGTATCCTGCTTCCCGTCGTCCTCGGGCAATGTCTGTTTCGTTCCTTGCCACCTGCATAAGATCTCCGCCTGAATCAGTGTCCTGGTTTCTGCCCAGACCTTTTCTCTTGGCGTTGATAATCCTTCAATCGTTCTGCTGCATCTCTCCTTCCATATAGACCATAGCGTGACTTTTCTGATTATACCGTACCATGTCTTCTCTGAGCTGTTGAGGTCAGTCGGGATGTTAGTCCACAGTAGAAGTTAGATGGAGTGTTCAGGGAAGGGCTTAGTGAACAGGGAGTTCCAGAGATCCGAAGCCCTCTCCCAATATTCTGTTGCTTCTTTGCATCGGATTAGGCAGTGAAGTAGGTCTTCCGGTTCATTTTCTGAGCAGACTGTGCATAGGTCAGAACTGTTGGGATCGTTCTTCCTTCTGCGAATATGGAGCCACTGGTTAACCGGTAGCGCTACATTGGCTATCAGCCATCGGAGACTCCTGATTTTTACCGTTCTGATTGATTTATATTTCTTTCATGGAATCTGTGTGATTCGGTCAGCCTCTTGACCGATTACTTTTGCCCATCTACTTTTGATTATTGGTTCTGGGTCTTTGGTCTTGAGGAATAATCTGTACCCCATCTTCACTGAGTAGTCCTGGATTTCTGTATTCATGTATTTTTTCCTTCCTGATGTCCAAGCCCATTCTGCTGGGTCGAATTCCAAATCCTGGATCGCTGTGTCCATCCTAAAGATTGTTTTGGGCCAGGAGTCCATCACTCTCACTTTCCTGAGCAGAAAAATGTCTAGATTTGTTCTTACTACATCCTTTTCTATGATGGAAGCCGATCCCTGCACCGACAGCGATATTGGGTAGGAGGTAAAATTGCAACAGTGTTTGAGCCCTGTTGTTTGTGTGAGAATTGGTAGGCCCTTGAAGGGGGCATTTCCTGTAACCAGATCCCCCATTTGCCTGTTTTCCATGCCGGTGGACTCTTTAACAGATCTTTCCATCCTTCCGGAATGTTGCTGATGATGGTCTGTAGGTTCCTATCCCGTTGGTGACAGCCCTTGAGGAGGGCGGCCAGCTCAAGGTCTGTTACCCATTCCCTTTCGATTTTCCAGACTCTGTGCTTTATCCAGGATAGCCAACGCGTGTCTCTCTCTGAGCTTGAGAGAGAAAGGGTGATCACTTTCATCTCTCAACCAGGGGTTGCCAAACAGGGGTTGCCTCAGTACCTCTTCTCTCGTCTTGGGCTTGCCGACCATTTTCGGCATGATTTCCCTCCAAATCCTTAGCAGAGACGTCCAATAAGGTGTGGGGGGTCTGTCCTCGGGGGGTTGCTTCCTTGTCCGCGGTTTCTGCGTCCTGTGTTGGGTGTCCATTCCTTATTCATCACCCAGAATAGACCCGACATGTTTGTTGGTGTCGGTACCGGAGCTAAGCCTCTAATGCTGTCCAGAGCTAGTTTATTCCACGCTATACCTGGTTTAGTAAGCAGTTTAATGATCCATTTGATCTGGAGGGCTTTGGTTTCTTGTTTGGGGTCGATGATCCCCAACCCTCCTTTACTTGGTTTCCTCGTGATGTAAAGCCATGCTATCTTAGGGATGCAGTTAACTCTGTTGGGGTCACCGGACCATAGGTAGGCCCTCGCTACCTGGTTGAGTTCCTTGATTGACTTGTCTGGTACTGTCCAGATTGAGGCTATATACCACATCATTGAAAAGATAGAGGTGTTGAGAGTTACGGCGCGACCCAACAGAGACATGAAAGTGTTCCCCCACCTACCCATTGTATTGATTTGTTTAGTAAGCACCTTCTAGGCCATTTGGGGGACAACACCTTCTTTTGTCATCAGGATCCCTATGTAGCGTGTAGGTGTCTCCGGTGTCTCCCAAGTCAACGCTGCCTCTGGGCCTTGGAGCTGTGGGGGCTCTTCTTCTGACAGCCACCACCCAATCGTTTTTTTCCAGTTGATCTTCATTTCCGAGGCCAGTCTGAAAGTTTCCATAGCTCTTACTAGAGCACTGAAGGATGAATCTGAGGCTCGTATGAGCACCGTGAGGTCGTCTGCAAAGATTATTACTGTCGGAAACTTTAGATGGTGGGCTGATCCTGCATTGATTTCTGGCAGTTGTGAATGGAGGGGTCGTTCTGTAGGAAGGAGGCTATGTTGATCCTGCGTTGATTTCTGGCAGTTGTGAATGGAGGGGTCGTTCTGTAGGAAGGAGGCTATTGCTTCCATAACAAAGAGGAAGATCGGGGGGGCTAGTGGATCGCCTTGACGGACTGATCGTGAAATTGGGTAGCATTCTGATAGCAGACCATTGACTTGTACACAACCAATAGCATCGTTATACAGAATACGTACCCATTTTCTGAAGTTCAGACCTACTCCCATCTTTTCCATACTTGAGTTCAAGAAGGCCCAGTTGACCTGATAATAAGCCTTTTCAAAGTCAAATGACATTATTGCTGTATTAATCCTCTTTTCTCTCACTTTGTTGGCTGCTTTGTTTAAAGTGAGTACATTGTCAAGAATGTAGCTTCCCGGTATGAAACCTGTCTGATCTATATGGAAGCACTTGTCCGTCAGATCAAGGATCCTGAGTGCCAAGGTTTTAGGCAAAATTTTGTACGGCAATGTGAGTAGTGAAATGGGCCTGTACGGAATGATCCCTTTTTTGTATAGAAGTGTGACTACACTGCTGCTCAACAGGTCCCTAGGCCCCCCTTCAGCCAGCTGTCCTTGTAGAAGTTCAGTAGATCGCCTCCAAGAAGTGGCCATAATTTCTCCCAGAATTCTTTTGTTAGTCCATCAATGCCTGGAGTTTTGTTGTTATTCATACTCTGGACTGCCGCTTGCAGTTCCTCTAAAGTGATGGGCTTGTCTAGAGTGTTTGCCTGTTCTTGTGAGATAGTTTTGTCTAGGTATTGGAGCATTCTGGTCCGCGCTTCTCTAGTACTGGGGGGAGTGGGGGTTGGGGTCTTTGTAGGGTAGAATTCTTCGTAGGACTCCTTGGCTATGTTTAGCATTCCTTTGCCGTCTGTTAGTGTTTTTGTTGTTTCAGAGAGGGTCTCAAGGCCCTCTCGCAAAGAGGTGCTTTGACATTGACTTGCTCAGCTCATACTCGTTCATTCTCAATCTTATTTGTAAGCCCTTTAACTCCCACCATCTCCACAAAAGCCAATTTCTCCCTTGCTTTGTGGAAAGTGTTTGTATAGAAGGGAGAAAATGGATTGTCAACTAAGTTGGATTCTGCGACCCTTAGAGTGGCTTCTAAGGCGATTTTACGTTGTTTCCTATCGTTCGACAGTTTCCTTGATATGTTGGCTGTTGTCTGGGATAGTGTGAAGTAGCTGCCTTGGAACCAAACCCATCTGTCATGGATGGAGGGATAGTTGCCTCTCATATTCTGCCAGCAGTCCAGGATACCCTTTCGGAAGGATTGGCTTAGTAGGAGCGAGTTATTAAGCTTGTGAAAGTTGGATCCTTTCTTAACAAATTGTTCAAAATTGATGATCAGTTCAATAGGTTTGTGGTCCAGCCCTGTATAAGGCTGTAGGGGGAGGATGTCTGCTCGCTTGGCTGTTCCCATTAGTGTTTCTGAAATCAAAAAGTAGTCTATAAAGGAGAAAGCAGTGTGGTGGGCGTGGTTCTTCTTTACTAAAGTGAAAGCTCTTACTCCCGGGTGCAAAGTGCGGTAAGGTTCAACCAGGTTACAATCTACCATCAACCGCTGGATGGGGAGTGCCTCTTGTGTGGATTGGCTGGCCGTCGATCTAGAGATACGATCTATTGTAGGGTCTAGGGTGGCGTTCCAGTCAGGTGGAACGAGATTCCCTATGCTTGCTACGAAAGCTGATCTCCAGCTGAATTGTTCA